AAGTTACATTCTTCAGCGCAAGACTAGGAGAAGTTGAGCCACTAATCGATTTTCACGTTTCTCTGATTGACTCAAGTTACTCAAAGTGACTACGATGGTTCTAATGTTTATTAGTTCGTTAAGGAACAAAGGAAAAAAAGTTGCCGTACGCATATTACCGGGATTCAGCAAAATCCATTATTTTTAAAAAAATCTCAAAAATTTTTTTCCCAGTAACCATCAAAAAACTACAACAAGGGAAAAAATTTGACAACAAACACGTTCTGTTAGCATTTTCCCCTTTCATCGGTGATAATACTCTGAAAGCTAGGGGACGCCTTCGACATTCACCACTTCCCGAAACCGCCAAATACCCCATTATTCTGAATGCTGAGGAACCAGCAGCGCGACTTTTAGTCGAACACGCCCATTGCCCATGCATGCATTTGGGCACAGAATATGTCCTCAATAACCGTCACCAAATATTTCTTATCATTAGTTTGCGCCAAGCTTTGAAACAAATTCGCCATCGCTGTTTCTTCTGTCGGTGATTCCAAGGAAAAGGGCTCAGCGTCCTCATGTCGGATCTTCCCGCCACTCGCTTCCAGGATCCAAATGAAAACCCTTGCCCATTCAAAACTGTCGGTATAGACTACATTGGACCATTTCATATTGCCGAAAATTCAACAACGACGAAGCAATATATCTGCTTGTTCACGTGATTGGCTACTCGTGCTATGCATTTAGAATCGACAGAAAGCCCCACAACGGACAGTTGCGTGAAAGCTCTTCGCAGGTTCATAGCACGCCGAGGCTCATCACAACGAATACTCTCGGACAACGTGACATACTTGATCGGAGCGAAAAAGCAGTTGCGTACAGAGCCGCTGTCATTCGATACAGAGATAGCAAGCTATTTATATGATCAAAATATCAGCTGGAAAATGAACCCTCCTTCTGCTCCTCACTTTGGTGGTGTATGGGAGAGACTCGTTCAGATGATTAAACGAGTTTTCCTTCTGAATCTTGAATCTGCACGCCTCTCTCGAGATCTCTTCATCACAATCGTCCCTGAAATCGAAGGACTTTTGAAGACTTTTGAATGGACGACCATTGACGCAGGTGAACAGTGATCGAGGACGACCTTCCGTTGACTCCAAACCATTTTCTTCTTGGCAGACCTTTTGTGTACACAAACTCAGCGGCCTTCAGTGACCAGCCAACCAGTAAGCTGTCCGCGAAGTGTTGGAGATTGGTGCAGGAGAAAAAGGATTGCTTTTGGCGCCGACTGCTCAAAGAATATGCACGAAATGGTCACAGCCAGAGGATATCATCAAAACTGGAGACCCTGTATGGATACTGAAGGACTTCACCCCGCGTGGCATCTGGCCACTTGGACGAATCATCGAGATTTTCACCGAGCTTGACGGCCTAGCGCGTTCGTTCGTGATAAAAACAGCGCTAGGGAAAAAAACTCGACCCGCCGTAAAATTAGCTTTGATAACACCTAGGGAAAACACTAAGGGCTCCCCCGAGGATGTTAATGATCATTAACAATCATATCCTTAAGGTCGATTTGTGACTTTTTGATATCTTAAATTAAGTGTGAATACTCTATGTGAACATTTGACTGTAAGATAAAGTTGGGAACTAAATATGAGAAACCATGCGATTGAAAGCTCAAAAGACTAATGGTTCAGCAATCATTATCACCGACAAATTAAAAAATATACAAGCTCTTTTTCATGCTTTTTTGAATAGCTGTGTCGATATTTTTGGTTGGGGCGAGGAAAGATTCTGAACGGGAGTCCTTTAACTTTGCGATACATCAATTGCATATTTGCAAACCATTTGCAAACATTTTACATTTTACCGGACATTTCAAGAAAACAAATCGGCAACTAAGCCAATAAAAGGAAAACAGACATCCAATAAACTGAAATTCAGCCAATAAAGAAATAAATTAAAGGAAATTATCTAGGAACAAGGATAGCCGGTTGTTGTGCAACTAGCACAGAATGTTCCGACCATAATCTTTTAAAAATTACAAATTTTTTTCATTTTAGTGCAGTTTTTTCTTCGTAGTGGGATAAACGAACTAATGTAAAACTTTAATTGAGGTTTTTTTGATAATCATAGTGAAATAAGCAAATTGAACGAAAAATGCTGTAAAAGAATGACCAGAAAAACCATAAAAATCTGAAATTTTTTTTTTAAATTTCAAATGTTAATTTTTTTTTGCGGAAAAAGTTTGATTTTTTCCAAAGTTTTTGATTCAAAATGCGATGAAAACTAGAAAAATTGAATTATGCATGCTTGAAACTACGTTAAATCAGCATGAAAAAGCTGTTGTGAGCCTGATTGCTGGAAAATGAAATGAAAATCAAAAATTTCCAAATATTTGGAACTAAAAATTTCATGTCAAGCCGACATAGAATTCACAATAGCTTAATAAGTAGCATCTGGAAAATGGACTACATCGTTTGGATAATAAAGCGAGAGAACTTAAGTCGATAACCAAAAAGCCGAAAAAACAGAGAAAAATAAGCATCTAAACTCAATAATGATACGTATAATGGTCTGAGTTCTAAATAGAGCATAAGTAGTAACTAATACCCCGTAGTTAAACTTGAATTGTCATAAAATTGAGCTTGTCAGCAGCCTAACAGCATCAAAATGGATTCAACTGACTTTGTTAAACAAGTTATAAACCCAAAAAATCTGTATTCTGATTTGATAACTCTTGCTAATTGCAAGGGGAAAATAAAAATTTCAAAATTTGTATTATTTTCAATTTTTTTTCATTTTTGAACTTTTTAATCCAAAAAAGGCGCTCAAGTCTTCGAAAACTAGATTGTAATAAAAACACTTTGTTTTGCGTTTCAATTAAAGTTTTTCTAATTACGTTTTTTGTAAATTAAATACGACCAAGAGAAGTTCAAATTCACCGGAATCAAGTTCAAGGACGGAATCAAGTTCAACACAATCAAGTTCAAAATCAAAAACAACGGAGGCATATTCTAACTGTACAACTTCAATTGAGCATAAAAACAAAACAAAAAAATTGTTTAAATCTAAGTAAGATACACAGAATTTAGAGCAGGATGCAAGTTTGACTGATGTAATTACTCTTCGAAGCTCTTCGACAAATAGTTCTTCGAACCTTTACAACAGCCAAATGTGTCCATCCTGACAGACACAACTTTCTCATGTGGGATTAAATTTTTTACTTTCATGCTCTTATAAAATTATAAAGATAAATTTTGCCCCAGTCGTATTTGAAATTCTTGCGTCAAATTTGATTTTCTGTTTTGTTCTGATTAACAGTTTGTCAAATTTGAATTTCACAAAGTTGAGTTTGAATGTTTGGAATGATGTAGGTCAATTACAAAAAGTATGTTATCAGCCTTTTTGCTTGCTTTTTTTCGCTCCAATTAGCTTCAAAGTCTAAGAAGCTCAAGAGGTTTTTCTCAACACTAAGAAAGTTTCTGTTTGAGAAAGTTTCTGCAAGAAATATTAAGCGGCATTTTGCGTGAAAAAACACTTGTTTTATTTTTTACCCGAGTTTTTTTTTATTAATTTTGTTCAAATATCTGACTGAATTAGGTGAAAACCAGAAAAAAAATCAGAATTTTAAAGGTTACTTCAAATAATAACGTTTAAATTAACTTATAATTACGTTTAATACCTCTCTTGCCCACTATGTTTGTTCAAAATTAGACTAAAAAGCCATTTTAGACAAAAAAATTTAACCCAATTTTTTCCACTTTTGAATGAAAGTGATTTTATGATATATGACTCAAATCATTTTAAAGATTTTTCAAAGTGACACTGCACTTGCTGCGTTGAATCGAGTTTTCTTTTCGGTTATCATTGATTTTTCGACTTCTCCCAAATCACTTTTAAAGACCTTATTTTGACTAATTTTTTGCGCGGCCAGGAGGACGAATCCCTGAGAAAAAGGGATAATTTTACACATACCGTGGAACTTAAAGCTATCCGAAAAAACTTAAGAATTTTTTTTTTCTAAAAATATGAAAATAGTTTGAAGTTTATGGCGTAGCATTAAAAAATTTTGGAAAGCCAGAATCAGACACAAACAGCACACTTGATTCTAAACACAGCTCTCTTTTTGTGAGTGTGGAAAGAACGCGTCGTTTTTTAAGTCCCAAATAGCAACAACGATGAAATAGGAGCAAAACATAGTCACAAATCCAATAAAAAGTTTATTGAGCACAGGAAAGAAAAAAAACAACATACTTCTTTACTCGTTCTAAATATGGAAATCATGATAAAAAAAAACTTTTCAATTCATCAAATTAAATCACAATTTGAAACAAAAATTCTAAACAATTTAAACGCTGTTTTCAAATGTTTTTCATGACAAATCAAATTTGGAGATTGATAACTTTATAAGAAAAGCGATCTTGAAAACAAAACAAACAAGCATGATCAAGTTGCCTAAACTTAAAACAAGTAACTTCCACGGCGTTTTGTAAACTTTAGAGGCAGTGCTATTGCTAATTCTACAAAATTGACGAAAACTTCAGGTACATAAAGTTTCAGTTTCTAAATGTGTTATTCATTTCTGATATCGTGATAACTCTTCCAATCCCTGGCTCTGAGCACGTGCTCAATGGCTGTCGATCACGTGGTGGTCGGCCCAGTGCTGGATGGAGTTGCGCAGGTGGGGGTTCTGGAACAGTTCCGACTGCTTCAGGGGAGCTGCACACTTGAAACACTCCTCGTGAAACTTCAGTTTATCCTGGATGCCTGAAAGAAAATGAATAAGAACGATTGTTTATTCAAGACTGAGGATATGAACCGCCCCCACCCCCTGTCTGTGCACCTGTTAAGATCTAGGGACCCAACTATCATACTTGTACCATTCCTCACATTGGAAGCAGAAGTTGGCCTTGCAGCATAATGCAGTGACCGGGATGCGCAGAAGGTGTGAACAGATTGGACAGGTGAAGTATGTCGGAGGAGCCACCCGAAACCTCTGCTGGACAACTGCGTCTTCAGCACTGAAACAGAAAAAAAAACTGAGACCGGCAAAAATATGTACGGCCTGCAAACGTTTTCACACAAACTTTTAACCCTATATCATTTCGAATTGGTCAAATTAAGTTGTGCAAAAACAATAAAATCGCACAAAAAACTTTTAGTTAGGTATGCTCGGGTTAACCTCATTAAATGTTTCACACGGACTTAAGCTCAAATGACAAAAAATGTATCCCAAAACTTTTACCATTACTAAATTCATACCATTTTGCTGATTTTTCAAACATTAAATATATCGACCAAAAATAAAAACCTTGCTGGTAGAAGAAAGTTGTTGTTGAGATCAATCATGTCTGCAGGGGTATTGTTGTTGTTGTTATTTTTGTTTTTCCTATTCCTCCAGAACTCTTCCCTGTCGTAGAAGAACTTCAATTTGGTCTTCATGCACACAGGAGCTATGCTCACAACTATGTCATCAGCTGAAATCACAAACCCTTATTTTGACCACCCAAAAATATATTAGTTTTTAAAAAAACATATTAGTTACTAATATATTACTTTGCATTAGCATAAAGAAGCGAAAAACAGCAATAAACTACTCTTAAATAAACTTAAAATAAATAGATAAATAAAAAGAACCAGCACACTCCCGGATTCGAACAGCTAACCTCTAGATCAAGAAGCACTTCGTCTCTTTACTAATCACCACTTTAACAAATTGATTTAAAATCTCTCACCATTTCCCTTCATCTGCCACATGATCTGCTGCCGCACTTCGCTTCTCCTCATCTCTCCACCTGATGACGTCACACACTTCTTTTGCTCCGCAGCTGTCTGAAAAATCAGAAAAATAAGCATAGGAGAGAACTTTTTCCCACTAACTAAGTTTTCACCCACTAACATTTTCGAAAATTTCCCAAACTTAAATGAAATTTGAAAATTGCTAGTTTCACAGCAAAGTTATGAATTTATTATGTTCTTTTTGATAGAATACAAAAAATTGATCAAAACATTAATTGCTTATAATAGAAATCTATCACGAAATATTATAGATCTACACAGGGGCGCAAAAAAACTGCACTTGCTCTTGCAATATAATTATCCGAATTTACTACTTATTCATCAATTTCTTTTAACCAATCTTTTTAAATCCAATTTCAGTCTTTCAGAAAGTTTTGTTAACATTGACTATACAAAAAGGGAGTGTTTAAAATAAACGAGTTAAATTAGTCAAAACATAGGACGTGTTTAATTTGAACAATCTAACTGATTTGAACTGAACAGAAAAAAGTCAATTACTCCATTTGCACCTTTTTCAGAGAATTTAGACGAAATTTGAAAAAGCACCTAGCTCATAGCATTTTTTGAACTGGCAGACAAGAACAATTTCACAATCTCCCAAATACTAAGAATGCAATCGATTATTGCAAGTACAATCTACAGTTAGGCCATCTAGTCTTTTTATGCTCTAAATCATGGATTTTTTACTATCAAATCGATTACAATCGATTGCAATTGATAATCATTTTAAACGATTCGATAGTTACCAACTTTTTAATTTTTTTGCAGATTTTATAGTATACAATTTTTATACATAATATATACACATTTTGCACAGATTATATACACTAAAAAATACATAAATTTTTCATTTATTCTTTATATAAAAAATTCGAACTGGCGAGAAAATTTAGTTACATGTCGTGTTTTGATGAAAATGACTTTGATATTGGCTGAGTATATGTGTGTAGTGGGGAGCTGAAATTAAAGAAAATTGAAAAGATTTTTTTTCCGAAAATGTAAAACCCCAGAAACAACCTAACTTTTTAATTTTTCATAATTTTTTCAGGTCAAAATAGATTTCCTCAGACGAGTTTTTGATATGAAATTGCAAAAAAGTAGTGATCGCATCAGCTTTGATTGCAAATCATGTTTTTTGGCCTTAGACAAGAATTTTTTTGAAGTTGCATAATTCGATCCCCCCCCCCCCACCAGTACACAAGAATTGAAATCTGATGATTTTGATTATTCTTCTGTGTGGTTAATTGGCATCTCTGTAGCTGAATAGGACCGCGCAATATGATATTTATATTTCAGATTGATCAAGTTGAGAAAGGGTTGTCTAAAAATTCACGAAGATCGAATCGAATACCTTGAAGAATATCAAAAATATCACGAAGAGTTGACTTCAAATAACACAAAGAGTTGACTTCGGAATCCAACAACATGTTCCTATTTCCGATTGAGCAAAAAAAAAATTTGTCTTGCAATCATTTCAGTTTTGTAATAAAAGTTATAGTATTAATCATAAAAACAAGGATATCCGGTTGCTGTGCAAGCAAAACAGAATGTTCCGACCAGTCTTAACTTTTTTTTCTTCAAATTAGTTTAGTTTAAGCCATTTGGGGATCTGAAGAAAATTTGAAAATTAAGCAAATGCGACAGTCATAGTTAAAAAAGCTAATTGAAAAAAAGTTTTAAGAAAAACGGCTGTATAAACGGGAAAAAAAGCGGTAAAACCATTTGAAAAAATGTTCAACATTTTTTCTATATAATTTTGCCGAAATTTTTTGAAATTTTGTAATTTTTGTCTTCCAAATTCGCAAACAAACTTCAAAATCTATTTTTACTCCAGTAAAACTAAGCTTTCACGGCTCTATTTAAGCCTAAAAAAGCTAATGTAATCCTGCACGTTCGAAGTTAGACCAAAAAATCAAAACTTCAAAGCGGTTTTTCTCGACACTGAGATTTTTTTAGAATCATTTGATATTTTTCGAATGACGGCGAGAAAAGCTTTGATCTGATTTATCACAAGACCCATTTTGATAAAAAAATTTGTGGTTCTGATTTTGGAAAACAAAAAAAATAAAAAAACTAAGACACATCGGACTTCAAAAATCCTTCATTTTTCATTTGATAGAAACAATAGTAATAACAAGCATAACAATATGAAATTAGCGGCTGACCAAAAATCTAGCTATGCTCAATATCTTGTTTGCATTTTGTTGAGCAAAAATTCTTCTGCATATTTTGGGGCCTACCATCTCGTAAATATTGATTTTTTCATGCCTTTCCTTCATTAGTTTCATGCTTTTTGGCATATTTTTTGCTCAAACTTTTGTTTATTTCGGATGATTTTCATGATTTTAATGCATACTATGTTGATAACTTTTATGAGACTATTGAGTAAAATTGTGCCCGAAATCTTGATTTCATTAATCATTTTCATGAAATAATTGATTTTTTTTGTGCTCAAAACTTTGTTTATATTGGTGATTTTCATGATTTGATTGCCTGTTTCTGTGCCCAAAATCTTGTTCAAATTGATCATTTTCATGGTTTTATTGTTACTTTCGTGCCCAAAATTTTGTTTATTTGAATGACGATCAGGATTTTATTGTATATTTTGGTGCCCAAAATCTTGCTTTTATTGATAATTTACATGATAAATGTCGTTCACTTCGAATTCAACTTTTTGTTTTAAGATTTCAAATAGCATGCTTCTAAGAGTAGAAAAGTCTATTTTCAGACAAAATAATCCATTTTTCAGACAAAATTATTGATTTTTCGGATCCTTAGAAAATGCATGACAATCGATTATAATCGATTTGTTACAGATTTTATACAGATTTTATACTGCAAAAAAATCCTTTTTCTAGACTGTATAATCGGTTTTTCTGAACTGTATAAAATCCCTATTATATCCATTTTGGTGTCTAATTGGGTTGCATACAATATATTTTTTACCAGTAGAAAGTCTGTATGAAAATCGATTATAATCGATTGCAATCTTAGTTTTGCCAATGCGGGCACGCACACGCACATTTACAAACGCACACAACCTTTCAGAAATCAAAAAAAAAATGTTTCACTTCAAACAAAACAAACACACTGATCATGAAAAGTTTGGAGCATAAGCAAATCTGGAAGTTTTCCGGAGAGTAGAGGGCTGAACTATGGCAAAAAAAACCTGCAAAATTGATTTTAAATTCAGCTGATTTTTTATAAAAATTTATACGAAATTGAGTCTGCAAATTCATTGCCATTTCCGAGTATCTGCTTCGAAACTTAAGCAGGTTCTTCGAAGTTTGAAGATTCAGAGCTTGAATCATTTTAACACCTCAAAATTTTTGACACCTCAAAATATTTGTTTGATATCTCTACGAAGAGGCCAGCCCTTTGATATTTTTCACAGCAAAAAAACCAAAAGAGAGACGATATGGCCTGCGTTGGGGTCAGTTTTCTGAAATAGGGGTTCCACCCTTAAATGCGCTACTGGTCTGGGGGGCTGTTTAATTTCTTCATTCTTACCATTCTGCTTAGAAGTTTGATAGTCCTACTAGCTCGAGTGGTCGTCTGTGGTTTTACCAGGAATTTCGTAGGTCGTCCCCCTCGATTCTTTGGGTCCCAAGGTTTGGAATTGCCACTAAACTTACCAATTCGGGACTTGTTCATCTTCAGACCAGCTCTTCGACGCAACTGAAAACGATGAAGAAATTCGTTCAATTAAAATTTTGGTGAGAAAACGCGGATTTTGAAAAAACTGCTTGACAATTTATCAATAAGTTTGCTTAGGTCATTACAATTGATTTACAGAGCTTTCTTGAGACAGCAGAAGGAAATTTTTGATACTTCTTGTTCTTAATGCAGCTTTGAGGCCCTTTTTGCACTCTCCGTCAAAATGAGTTTAGAAGAAGAAAATTCAATGAATATCACAAGAAAAAACACAAAATGGACCCTTTAAGCGGTAAGGGAGTCAAATTTCTTATGACATGCAACTCACTAACTATTTTGAGTTTTTTAAACTTATTTTAGTCATCATTAATTGAGTTTTTCAACAATGATCGATGATTTTGAGATCTGAAATTTTTGGTTTGATTGAAAAAAAAACAGGTTCAGAAACAGCTGAGATATTACTTCTTTTTCCATCTTTTTTGTAGCTTGTTTTGACATCTTGTCTAGTTTTGCAGGAATTACTTCTTTTGCAGGTTTCGATTGTTTTTTCTCCGTCTGTTGAGGTTTCTGAAGTCCAGTAGCATCTGGTTCGACAGGAGTCCACATCTGAAAAATTGTGGTATGATTTTTGAAAACCAACTAGAGCAGCTAGTTTCTCTGCACAGCTCAAAAAGTTTGCATTTCCAAAAACAAATTATATAAAAAAATCAACCAACTTTTCAAAGGTTTATCAACCTATTTTTCAATGTATTACTTGGGCTTTATGAGCTAAGTTTGAATAATACAATATAAGTGGCGTAAGTCGTAATTGTTTGTGGCGCTTAATTTTCAAGAAAAAAAATGAAAAAAAACAGACGAAAAACTGAGCTTCGTACCACTTGCGATACAAAAAAGAATAACTATGATTAAAATTTAACGAAAAAAAAAAATAAATTGCAAAAAAAATCAAAAAAATGTTTTTGATATTAAACATTGCAAGGAAAGCCCAAGTAAACCAAACAAATATATATTTATACCATTAAAAAGTAAGCAAGGAGCTTTCGGAATTATGGAAACTTACCGAATATTCAAACAAGTCCTTTCAGCGGATTTGAGCCGACAAAAATTAGCAGAAAAACAATAATCTAAGTTAGCCAAAAGTTTTCAGTTTGTAAAAAAACAGGTCTCGACTGGAATCGAATTCAAGGGTTTTGTGGTTTCAAGCATGTGTTTTAACCAAAAACACCTGAGGTCACACTTAAAGATGAAAAAAATTCAAACTAAACACATTTTTGAATCCCCTTTCCCTTCAGAACACATTCGCATACAATTTTTTTTCAGTCCTCAAGAGAAGTCAGAGGAGACAACTAAGTCGCTTTAGAAAAAACAAACACGATTAGGCCTAAAAAAACGAAATTTAAAACAGGAACAGCCGGTTACTGCGGGAGTAGCACAGAATGTTCATAACATAATCGTAAGAAAACAATTTTTTTTTTCAAATTAGTGTTGCTTCAACGATCTAAAACGCTATCGGTGCGCTAAAACGATCTGAACAAAAAAAAAGGAGACTAGTAATATTTGACAAAGAAAGTAAAGTACAAAAGTGAAAAAAAAACATTTTTCGTTGAAAAATGACAAGAAAAACGCAAAAAAAATTTAAAAAACCCCTTTTTTTCAACTATTTTTGCAGTTTTTTGATTTTTGAAATTTTTAATATCAAAAAAGCGCTAAAAACTAATGAAAAACTAACATTAGTCCAGTAAAACTATGAAAAAAAGACGAAATTTATTTGCTATATTTGCTGGAATAAAGACGAAAAATCAAAAATTTCAAGCTGACTTTTCTCGACACTAGGGATACTTTTTAAAATTGTTTTCATGTCTTTTGAATCACGACTGAAAAGGCTTTAATATGATTTATCGCACAATTCTCTCCGATGATTTTTTTGTGGTAGCTAATTTTGCCTGGAAAAAAAAAGAAAAAAAGAAACAACTAAAACAACCGAATACAAAGTTCCTTCCCATTTTCAACAATCGGAACAAAAACAACGAAAAAATAACAAACAAATCAAGTTGGTAAAATTGTAACATATCTTAAAATCAAACTTCGATTCGGCCGGATCTTTTTAATGGTAAAACACTAGAAGGACCTGCAATGAAATTTGTCTACAGCAAAAACAAACGATTCTTACATGGGGCACCTAAGCCGACAAAACATAAGCAGACAATTATCAGGCCCAATTGAAACCAAAAGTTTCCGTTTCAGAATTAAGTTTAGAACTAAAAAAGAGGGAGTAGATTTATTTAAAATTAATTCTTACCTCTTTCAGCTGCTGTTGAGTTGTACTTTTGATCAAATCCAAACAGCCGATCGAATCTGCATTTTCTGGGCTAAAACAGAATTCCAATTTATGAGAAACGTTCTTCTGCTGCGATGACAAATCTATAAATGAATGTTCACCTTTTCGAAATGACTCTGACTAACTCTTCTGCTAAGTTCGTATCTCGCTCTTCAATTTTCACCCGAGTTGCAAAAAACTGGATCGAAAATTTAAACGGCTGAAGCGACTGCAGTAAAACAAGGGGGGAAATTATAGCCATCTCTATCCATTGTAGAATGCAATTGACAAGTTGTGATTTGGTCTCCTTATTTGTCAGCTGAGGGGTCGAATTTTGTTGTTGTTGTGCCCACAGAGGTGTGACCTTGACGTTGTCAATGTTGACGCGGCACAACAAGAGTCGATGAAAGAGACCACAAACTTCATCTCTCTTAGTTGCTAAAACCATCATCAAATCCACTAACAAATCAAATCAAATGCTTAAATAATATTTTAAAAAATTGACTTTGAAAAAAAGCGGGAATACAAATAAGGGGGAGGGGGGGGGGGTAAAAGAGTAAACCGAAATATGAAAACTAACTAATTACATCATACCAGATGAGTTGGAGTTGATCAGTACATGATGACAGGCGGACAATAGATCTTGGCTGAAGGTTCTCACCAACAACACAGTTGTTGCAAGTCCAATTTTGAAACCCTCTGCGACTAAAACATATGTTGTCAGCCAAGGCAATCTTAATAGCCGGATCAAAAAATACACCTTAAAATTCATTTGTCCACAGAGTAATTTTTAATTTTTTTGAACTTTTTAACACTTGATTGAGACAACAGCCTTCCAACATTGATCATAATGATAAACAGGTCCATATATTTTTAGGCCAATATAATTTTCCAGGCAAAACTCACGTCAAAATCTTACCTGTTGCATAGTCAGAATCAAAGTCCACGACAAACGGTTTCAGACCGAATAAGGCTAAAACACAGTTAGCACCCGCTGTCTGAAGTTGGGAAGAAGTCAAGGAATTGTCAAGACTGTTTGCAGATTCAAGACTTAATCTTTCTTCTGGTGCAAACTCACTAGAAGGACACCCACCTGAAATAATTCCACGTTAACAAGATTTCTTGTGCCTCAAAGCCTAATTGGATCTACTTAACAATCTCCCCCTATGGTATCAACTAAAGAATCTCCATCCCTATGAAAAATTACAGCAAATTAGCACTAGATCTTGTATTGAGAATTCGAATTTTGCTGCATTCTGATTGGTCGAAAATTTGACAACTACATCTACTTAACAATCTGCACTCCCTTGTTGAGGGGAGATTACTTAGGGGAGATTGCTAAGTAGATCCGTTTAACTTTGGTGCCTCAAAGTTCTTGCATTTAACTTTTAAAAAGGGAATCAAAAATCTCGTCTCTTCAAAATGACAATCAGAACTAATTGGGAATTCAATTGAAATCGCATGGTTAACAATATCGTCCTCAATCCCTCAAGATACGAATAGCGATAAGACATTTGACCAAAATTCGACTGCCCAAAAGAGCGTTTTATTTCTGAATTTTTTCAATTTTCTGAAAATCCTCCATTTGATTGGAAATGGCGTCTAGCTTTGACTTTGAACGAAAATCTATCCTACACTTGTTGGCTTGGCAATGGTCCGGCATTTCAGTTGAACCTTCTTGAGTTTCGCGACCCACCGAGCAAGAGAGAGTGTACTTCAGAAATGGGGACACTATCTGAAATATATATTTTAATGGGGAAAGCAAAAAGCGCGGTCAAATATTCACGACAAAACAGGGCAGGGGTCTTTTCGATAATCCTTTAAAATCTAAATGGATATTTAATGTAGCTCAAATTTTGAAAGCGTAAAAATTGAACAAATGTTCTTTTCTACTCTCATATATAAGTTATATCGCCAGAATTGAGTCATCTTGAAAAAATGCAAACTCACAATAACTCACAACTTTTTCATCAAACTAACCTTTTTCATCAAACAGTAGCGTGGCGAGGGAATCTCTTCCTCACGTCTGATTGTCAAATTTTTGCACAGGGTCTTCCTTTTGGTATAATTTTACGAGATCTATCTTTGGCTGGACAACATCAAAAATTTTCTAAAGGCACTTTTGGCGCCAATATAATTGCATTTGAAGAGGGAGCGCGCCCAAAAAAGGCAACTTTTTGGTCACAAATTTTTATAATTGCTCATAACGTTATTTTACCCCTTTTTTTTTAAATTTTGCATTCGGCGCAGAAAATATTTGACAAAATAGGATCCTTATATTATTTTCGGAGAGCCCGGAAAATCAAAAGGTCGAATAAATTTTCAAATTTTTTTCGAAACACCGCCCCCTCCCCAGAAAATTTTCTGCGAACGCCACTGTTATCAAAAATCAACCCGAGTAAAAAAAGATATGAGTTTTATTCTAAATTTGCTAAAATTCTCAAAATCTGCAGCGTTCAGTGTTTTAGATTTCTAAATATGATAAAATTTTCTAAATAGATTGAAAACTTGAATTGAAAAATCAGACCTTTTCGAAGTAGTGACCAATGTCATGAGCGTAAAGTGTGATCAACTTCCACCAACAGCGAACTCGTCTGACCTCTAGAGATGGATGACTCATCACAAGGTCATCAGAGCTGTTTAAGAGGGGACTCATCAGAAGGCTGATCTTAGTCGACATTGCCACATCGCCTGAAAGAGATTTCAGGTCAGACTAGGAATCAACTCAACAATCTCTCCCCCCCCCCCCCCCCCTCCTATGGTAATTATTTAAGAATCTTCACCCCTGTAAATAAACACAGTAAATAAGCACTAGAGCTTCCTATTGATAATTCTAACTTTGCTGCATTCTGATTGGTCAAAAATCGACCATTTTGATCTACTTAACAATCTCCCCTTTTCTTGAAAGGAGTGGAGATTGTTGAATAGATCTCAGACTAGCGCAGCTATACTTTAAGATTTTTTTTGCTTTATTTATAAAGAAAAGTACATTTGTTGAGAAGCGACATTGAAAAGGCGAGAAACGAAGAAACGTCAAAAAATAGTTTGAATAATCATCAAAAAAGTGGTAACATACCAAAATTGTTTAATTTTTCAACCTATTGATAGGCTCAAAAAACATTTTTGGCTCAAAAAGAAGGTTTATGTGGCTAAATTGACAAAAAACAATACTGCACAGAACTTGTTACATATTCCCTTCCCACATTATAACAACAGCCCTCTAATATTTGTAACTATCACCCTCCCAAAAATTTGCCTCCCAAGAAAGGCCGTAAAAAGTGCTTACTAGGTACCAGGGGAAATTTTCTTGAGGGGACGGTTTTACAAAATGTTTCTAAAACTGATGTTCAGGGGTGCTGGGAATTTTGGCTTATCAGCGAATCGAATCCCTGGCAGTTTTTTGTCGTCAAAAATGGTAATTTATTTTTAGTTCCGAAAAAATTGTATGGAGATTTTTGATTGCAAATATTCGTAATCAGACATAACGGTTAATTTGAATCAGATCAGGAAATTGCACTTGCTATGTCGCTTGCGCGCGAAAACATACTGAGTTTCTGTCTGTAAAATGTCTTCAAAAATTTTAAAGGGTCCGCTGAACGTCCTTCACAGGCTTGTATAGCCTACTTAGCGTTTATCTGCCATAGAAAAATTCGAAACAAAGATAGCCGGTTGCTGTGCAATTAGCATAGATTGTTCCGACCATATTCATAAAAACTACAAATAAATGTTCTTCAAATTTCCTATGATGATAAAACTATACACACGCGTAACAAAGTAGTAATTTACGCATATTCGACAAAAATTTTCTATAAAAAAAAGAACAAAAACGAAAATTGAAAAAAAAACTCAAAAGAAAATTTCAAAAGAAAAAACTCAAAAGAAAACCAAAAATTTTCAATCGATTTTTTTCGACACTGGGAATTTGGAACTTTTTAAATGTCGTTTAAACAACGAATGAATGGGCTTCAATATGACATTTAACTACCGGGCCAATGACTATTTGCGGTAATTGATTTTGCGTGGAAAAAAAAACAAAAACGCCCGAATACAAAGTTCCTTCCCATTTTCCATGGTCGAACAAAAATGACCATAGCGACAAACACATCATTCTGGCCCATTGAAAATTTCTTTTATGCTGCTGATCACATGATTACCTAGCAAAGCATTGTCTTAGATAAGTCAAAACATAACTTGCGACATTAAAAAGATCTCACAGTTGCTAACCTGCAACTCAATAACAGAAACTGGCTCAATAAAGTCAGTGGCAAAAAAAATGGTGAGAATTCTCCAAACAAATGTCAAGAACAAGTCGACCCTTGAAAAATAAAAAGCAATATTCAGTTTAGATTGGTAGCCCAGATGTTGAAAAGCCGTTCTTTTATAGTCTTTCTGGACCAATTAATTATCATTTCCCTTGTTAAAGCGTCTTAGCTATTTTTTTTCTAATTTGGAATTTTCAGCCAATCAGAATCGAGTAGGCTACAAGTAGCGCTAAGCAATTTAACTCAATTAATAAATGCGGCAGAAGGTCTTACCCTCGGGTATTGGGGAGTGGGGGGGGGGTTGCTTGATCCGATTTTTTTTTGTAAGAAACTTACAATTAATTAGCAGGCACCAAAAGTTGAAAAACAATCAAACATAAAAGACAAAAAAAACGATTTTTCTATATTTGAAAAAAATAAATTTCAGATTTAAATGCAAGCAGTGTGCCTACCCGCACTGACCAAAATCCATTAATAGTATCAGTATTTTGAAAATTTTTTTGGTCTTTTTTATTATGCTACTATACGCTATGGTTGTAAAATTTAAAAAGGTGGACATTGCATAAGTGCAACAGAAACTCGAAACTGACGAAATTGGCAAGAAAAAAATTGATTAAAATTCGTTTAAGTTTCCCCTAAAAATGAAAACAAATTAGGACTTAAAAACGGATTTATTTCGATTTAACAACGATTTGGATCAATTTTTTGAGCTGGAATTTAAAACAAATTTGAATCAATTTTAAATTGATCCAAATCAATCTTAATCTTGCTTTTTAATCTTCGTTTTTCTTTCATTCTAAAATTGATTTAAATTGAATCTACATACTTTTTTTAGTAAATTCAATCCTAATCCGTTTTTGTCAAAGTCTATTTATAAAACTGCATCGAAATACAAAGGAATCGAAACCAAAAAAAAGGCCAAGAGTGCTATAAGTAAACTTGAAAACAGCATTACACTTGGACTAAAGACAAGAAAAACTGAAAACACTAAGTCACAGGCATTGAAAAGCGCGAAAACTTCTATAACTATTCAGCAAAAAAATCGACCAACCAGAGTGCAGCAAAATAAGAATTCACTATACAAAGCTCTATTGCTAATTTACTGTGTTTAATTACCGAGGTGGCTATTATTAAGTAGGTACCATAGGGGGGAGATGTTTTAGCGGATACCATAGGGGGAGAGATTGTTAAAGGATCCTTCTAATTTCATCAATCAAATCAAATAACTACTCTTCTAAATGCGAATTGAAACAGTTTTGTTAAAAAACTATTACATCAATAAAGAACGTTTTTTCTCACTTCATTCATTAAATGTGAAACAGAATTAAAGTAAAACCCGTTGAAAAACTAGAAAAAAAAACAAAAAAAAGCTCATTCTGGAATTTTTTGCAATTTTTTTTCGGCCCTCTTGAGCGCTCCCGACTATGTGACAGTCGGCATTACAACCGAGCCGTATTGAGTTTCTGCATGCTGAAGCATTATTAAAGTAGTCTGAATAAAAATTTCAGCGATACGGTTGTTTCATGTATAAGTTTTTCAGCGATAAATCAGCAAAATTTCGTCGATGACTCAGTGCTGGGAAATACAATGTTAGTCAATTTTTGCGTTCATACTCAGTTTGAAAAATGCAGCAAATAAATTGGAAATGATGCTTTTCAAATGATGCATTGTGATGATGATGATGATGATGAACATAACCAAGAGAGAGAAAATAAGCTTAAATATGCTTAAATTTCCAAAAAATAAGCTAAAAGAATTGAACCGACAAATAAGGTTTATCAAAAAAAAAATTCCATAACTTTTCTAGTAGATGTTTTTGCTCAAAGCAACAATCAAGTAGCTGATGAATCACTATTTTAGCGCAAGACGCTGAATCAGACGCTGAAGAAAGACGCTGAATCTGCACTGGATAAGTATTGTTCAGCAATTTTTAGTCATCGATTAAGTGGTACTAATCAGAGCTTGATTAATCGATGCCAATTTATTCAATTACAAGGTTTCAGTGCAGATTTTGCTGTACATCCACTGCTTTTTAAACGCACAAAAACTGATGCCAATGGAAAACAAAATTAAAAAAACATCATAAGGTCACTATCTAAAATAAACTATAGAGACAATTTCAGAGCAAGTCAAACCAACCGCTGCCGCTTATAAGTTATCTTTTGATTTATTAGTACACATGAAATTATAGCTGCCCGGAAAATGAAAAAAGGTATAAGAAAAAACTTCACACTAATCTGAAAATTATTTTAAAAAAAAACAAAAAAAAGCAAGTGAGACACATCCAGTTTCTAGCGTTAAAACCGATTAATTTATGACTTTAGTACAAAAATTGCGAAAAAATAAATTTAATCATTTCAAAGTTGATTATAATTTTATTTTTTGAAACCAAAGTAAAAACATTTATAAAACATTTTTATCGAAAAAAATCAATTGTTAATCCCTTTATTTTTCGACACAATTATAATCGATAATATTTGATTGTAATTGATTATTTTAATCCGTGTTTCTAGTTTATACATTTTGCACAAAAAAACTATTATAACCGATGATAGTCCCTTTTGCTTGCCAACTTTGCCTTCGACCTTGCATGCATTTGATTTGGTTTTAATTTATTTTTTTTGTAGACCTTGGTTTATGTGAAAAACAAAAAAATCTGTACAAAAGGTTTTTCAAATGAATTCAAATTTATAACAATTTTGTTTTTTCATTTTTCTATTAGAGTTGTTTCATGATGCACATTTCAAGTTTTTTTAACCGCCAAAATATTGGCACATTGCTTTTGTTTTGTAATTTTTTTGGAAAATCTAGTTTTGATCTACCACGGAAACCTTTTAACTGACACGAAAAAATCACGGTGAAAATTTTGTTTCGTTGTAACACTTTGTGTTCCGTTGAACCAAAGTGTGACATAACTAATTTTTAGAGATTTTAATATTGACAGAAAAATGATAACCCATAGGTCATAATTAAAATGTTTTGTCGGTTGGTCTGACAAAATGTTTGCAAAATAAGAGATTATAATACATTAGAACTGATTTTTAAATTAAAAATTTCTGTATGAAGTAATTATAATTGATTGTAGGAGATTATTATCTCTGGGGAATTATCACGATGATAATCGATTATACATCTTTTAAACACCTTATTTTGGTAATTATGAGCTATTAAAATTGTTAAAGATTAACATAATCATCCGTTATAATCGATTAATTATGCCTAAACTTGGGATGTTTACAACTACGAGAAAATGCAAAACAATAAACTATGTAAATTAGCTATGATAGTTCGGAACATGGTTTCGATCTCCGACCTCCACAGTTAAAATCTAATGTCTTCAATACTGCATTAATTTCCCCTTTCTTTGCAGTGAACACTATCCGCGAAAAGCGAAAAAAGGCTCTTATTCCTTTGGCTCTTTTCCAGTTC